ACTAGAATGAGTGTTTGAGGCTGGTACTGAAGTAAGTGGTGACGAATTGTCATTTGTGGTAACAATGTCGTGAGTAGGTACCGGTGAACATTTGAAGGGAAAATGATTTTCAAAGAAGGTAACATGTCTCGAGACATAAACACAATTAGTTAAGGGATCGTAACATTTATATCCTTTGGACCCTTGGGCGTAGCCGAGGAAAACACAGGCGACTGAGCTTGGTTGAAGTTTGTTTCGACGAGGAGGAGGGAGCCAGGGATAACATAAGCAGCCAAAGGTTCTAAGAGAAGTATAATCTAGCCGAACATTGTGAAGGGCTTGATATGGTGGGACCTTCGGTGAGACAGCCTAGGGTAATCTATTAATAAGGTATGCATCAGTCAGCAAGGTATCAACCCACAGTTTTGTGGGGATGCTGGCTTCGAACATGAGTGATGTCATTATTTTGAGCAGGTGGCGATGTTTTCGCTCGGCTAAGCCATTTTATTGGGGTGTGTGTGGACCTCCGAAGGAGCACCGCTCGCGGGGGTACGAATGCAGAGGGTGGTTGACCTGGTCAACCAGGTTGACCCAGGACCTGGGTCCGGGCTCAACAGACTCAGTTCGACCCACTGAACCCACAGAAGGTGGTATTGGGGTCTGACTTGGTCAATTTGACCAAGTCAACCCTTTGACCAAGGGTTTGGGCAAAATCGAGGTCAACAGTGTGTAGGGACATAAGAGACGGTGAGCAATGCCAGAATTAATCAGAAATTGTTTGAATGGTTGGTTAATAAATTCACCTCCATTATCAGTTTGTAATTGTTTAATCTTTGTTTGAAATTGAGTTTCAACAAGAAGTTTGAAATTTTGAAATACAGGGAGAACGTCAGATTTTAATTTTAAAGGGAATACCCAGGAAAAGCGTGTAAAATCATCAACTAGAAGAAGGTGATATTTATAACATTGAGATGACAAAATTGGGGACGATCCCCATACTTCAGAATGTAGAAGTTCTAAACATTTCGTAGTAGTAGACTTAGATAAGCTAAAGTGAAGACGATGACATTTAGCTCGAACACATGAGTCACAATGATGCTTGGACGGGCTGGAAGGAGAAAATTTGAGGATGTCAGATAATCTGTGCTGAGTAGTTAGAGAGGGATGCCCAAGACGCCTGTGCCAGAGATTGAACGTAGATGGAGTTGTGAAGAGAGCAACAGGGGCAGTGTTTTGGCCGCTAGACTGAACTGAGAGAGGCAGACTAATAAGGTAGAGACCATGTTGAATGGGACCCTGAAGTAAGATCTGGTGCGTCTGGGAGTCCTTAAGAAGGAAGCCAGATTTGTTAAAAATAATATAGCATAGATTATCTTTGAGTAGACGAGAAACAAAGATGAGATTATGTGTTAGTTTGGGAACATGGAGTATTTGAAGGAGTTGTAACTTACGACCAGAAGTTGGAAGAATGCCTTTTCCAGAATTCGCAATAGGCAGTTGGGAACCATCTCCGACTTGAACATTGGATGTACCGGTGTATGGCTGGATGGACTGCAGCTGATTTGCGTCGGATGTGAGGTGAGAGGTGGCACCCGTATATAAGAACCAGTCGCCAGAAGCTGATTTGTCCTCCTGAGCAATAAAAACTCATGGCGCTTGTTGGTAGGAGAAATCTGCGCGGTACCAGCATGAGACAGCGGAGTGACCCTGCTTTGTGCAAATTTGACATACTACAGAGGGCATTTGTCGACGGCCATTGCTGCGGGTAGAGGTGCGTCCTCCTCGAGGAGTAGAGGATCGCCCGCGTGTGGTACCACGAGGATTACCGCGAAAAGCAGCGAGCACAAGTAATGTATCTGGAGAATGCAGGCTGGCTTGTTCAGAAGATATGTTAACCTCTTTACTGCAGAGAAGTGCATAAAGTTCAACCAAGCCGATGGGCTGAGCTCTGGTTCGGATAGCCGTTTTAAAGGCATTATATGATTGAGGTAGTCCATTGAGAATGTAGAAGATGACATCTTCAGTCTCAATGGGCGCTCTAGCAGAGGCAATAGCATCCACACGTTATTTGATGTCAGACATATACTGAAACATGGTTTTATCCTGCATTTTGAGATGGTGTAGCTCGTTTTTGAGCTGGAGTAGACGAGAGCGTGTAAAGGCTTGTAGGCGATGTTCCAGCGTATGCCAAATGTCAGTGTAGGTTGAGAGATTGAGCACATACAGTAGTAACAACTGAGAAATGGAGGAAAACAAAGCAGCAGCCAAGTTTTGATCTATTAAATGCTAGGAGAGATATTTGGGATTCACTGAGAAGGAATCTGCCGAAAGATGTTTGGGAGGCGGACGTAGAGAACCGTCGAGATATCTGGTATAGCCGTTTGCGCCAAAAATTTTTAAAACCTGGGATCGCCAGATGGGATAATTTGAGGCAACAAGTTGTACATTAAGTACAGACATGATATTTGACATAAGGAATTTTAGCTGTAGTGGGATAACCGGTACGGTGGTGGGTGCAGGGGGAGCGGTGGTGGGCGTCATCGGCTCAGCTGTCGTGGATGATGCTTCGGTATTAGCCATGAAGTCGGCTTTGGATGGCGAGCGAAGGCGTTATGGAATAACCTGCTCTAATACCATGAAAGTGCGCCAAACTTCAGGAACAATAAATCAAAACTAGAGAAGAGAATGGAAGCTAGAGGAAGAAGAAAGACATTGGAAATAAATGTCGTATATTCCTTGACTTCAAGATGATACAGTGATACATCTTTTATAATAGTATGCTAAATGATTAAAGGAGCTGCTGTAACCACCTTGCCAGACATCATGGCAGACCAACTTACCGATTAAGGGTGTCAATATTTGACACGACCCGAACCCGACCCAAAAATTTTGGGTTAGGGTCAACCCGACCCGAAATGGGTCGGGTTCGGGTTCAGCATTTCGACTCGTTTCAAAAATCGGGTCGGGTTTGGGTTAACCCTTTGACCCAAAATTGACCCGATTTTGACCCGAAAACCCGTTTTTGACCCGACAACCCGAGATTGACTCGATTTTGACCCGTTTTTTACCCGAAAAGAGGAGATTTACCCGTTTTTGACCCGAAAATTAGCCATTTTCTTGTTGGAAATGGGTCGTGTCGGGTTGACCCGGACCAGAAGCGGGTCAGGTTCGGGTCAGGAAAACTGACCCGTTTTTAAAAACGAGTCGGGTTCGGGTTGACCCGAATAGTGCCGGGTCAGTTTCGGGTTCGACCCGTGACCCGAAATTGACACCCCTATTATCAGTTGCAGTGAGTATAGGTTTAGCAATAATAATAACCTGTAAAAGTATAAAGTGATTTGGTTTTACATTTCTTACTAAGGGCCCTTGTTAGAAATCCAATTAAAGGTGCCATCTACCTTTTTAGGGGGTAATATAACATCGTTAGACACACACACACACACATATATAAATATATATATATAATTCCCCTCTTTGATCTATAAATATCCCCCCTTAAAGGGTGGAGGAAAATGCATAGTCTCTTGTGCTAGTCTCAAAATTTCTCTCATAAATTAGGGGAAAGATGAATTAGCATAATTAGAGACTAACAAAGGTAATCAATATATGATTCGCTTGTGGTGATTCAAGTTTTCTCCGCTAAATATGGGGAAAGTTGGATTGGTAGAATTAGAAACTACCAGTAATGATCAAAACTCGATTCTCTTTTGTTGATCCAAGTTTTCTCCTCTAAATTAGGGGAAATGTGGATTGCTATAATTGGAGACTACCAGTGGAGATTAAAACCCCATTCTATTGTGTTGGTTCAAGTTTCTCTCCTAAATTGGGGGTAGTAGGCATGCATGATAACGGGCACGGACAATAGATAAGTTGATGGAAGGGAGAGGACATTGTGTTAATGACAATAATCTAATTACACACTAACGATACTAATTGAGTTGAGAGCAGAAGGCGATGAAGCTCCAGTCTTTCTTTGAATAAGGTGTTAAGAGAGATGCTTCAAAACCCTAATTAGTGAAAAATATGTGAGAATCTATTGAGGATGTTTGCCATGCTTGAGGTTATTCGCTAAACCTTATCTTGATAGCATTAACCTATGTGGACGATGTCGAAAGAAATCCTATAAGACTGTTTAACCCATTCAAGATTATTTGTCAGAGTATTATTCAATGACATTAACTTATATATAAAAGATTGAGATAAATCAATTAAATATGTTTGACTTATTCGAGGTTATTTGTCAGAATGTTGCTTGATGACATTAAATTATATGGAAAAGGTGATGGGAAAATCCAATAAAGATATTTGAACTATTCGATATTTTTAATCAAAACATTACTTGATGGTGTTGACTTGAATGGAAGAGGTTGGGAGATATCAACCAAAAAATGATTTACCTATTCGAGATTATTTTACAGAGCATTACTCAATGACATTAACTCATGTGAAAGAGAGTACTGGTTAAAAGAAAGCCAACAAAAATATTTGACCTATATAAGATTATTTATTAGAGTGTTGTTTGACAATGTTAACATATGTGGAAGTGATAAAAAAAAATCTAACAATTATGTTTGACTTATCTAAGATTATTTATTAGATCATTGCTTGATGATATTAACATATTAAAAAAAGTCTAAGAGAATCCACCAAGGTGTTTAACTTATTTAAGATTATTTGTCAAAGTGGTACTCAATGACATTAACATGTATGGAAGATGTTGAAAGATTTGATATATATATTTCTAGGATAAATAATTTACAATAAAAGAAGCTTAAATAAAACATAACAAAATTTTATTCATACTAATTAATATTCTAATACTAATTAATTATTTAATTATTATTTAAATATTTTTTTATTTAAATCATATTTAATCATATTAATTGGTTTAAAGTAACTAAATATTTAACTAATAATTTTATTAATAGTTTAATTAATTATTTAAATATTTTTAATTAGTTTCACTTAATTATTAATAATTTAAATTATATTAAATAAGTTATCGAATAATAACTTAGGAATCTAGGTTTTGCTTTTTCCTGCTCTTCCTCTTATTCGTCGCTGTTCAACTTGCTCCGACGGGAGGTCGCTTACTGTGTTGGGAACCTTCTACGTTTCGCGCGCTTCTTCGGCCAAATCTCGTAAATCCGCTGAAGGAGAGGTTATGGGAAATCCGGGATTTACCGCGGCGGAATTTTCGGTCTACTGCGCCTTTCATTTACCGTGATATTTGGTTTTGCATTCTAGGCCGTTTGGCTGGATTTCGCTCAAATCGTCCTCAAATCTGGCCTAAATCCTGCTACCAAACAGCCCCTAACTATTCCGAAGTTGTGCATTTTTCCTCCCTATCCGCTCTGCTTATCTTCTCTATCCCATGGCGCCAGTTGAATTAATGTTAGCGGCCCCAAAACCAAGGAAATCTATATCGCTCTCCGGCCATTGGTATGTTGATGCTGAGGAACTTGAAAGGAAGCTATTGGGAGTAGAGGCGAAGAAATTGCCTTTGATGAGGCTTGAAGAACTGAACGGCCTGGTTGCAAAGAAGAGAGAGACAGCAGAGAGTTTGTTGAAACAGTATACAATGGAGTATGAGGTTAAAAAAAAGAAGAGCGGGGATCTCAGGCTGCTGGATACCACGGCTAGGTCGGGCACTTCGGTGGATAGGATATCGGCTTTTACTTGCTTGGTGGAGGACAATCCCCTGGCGAATATGAGAGCCCTCGACGCTCTTTTGTGTAAGCCCGTAGAGAGTTCTTCTCCTTCTCCTTTATTAATTCAGAAGTTTTTGTTCTTTGCTTGCTGAGGAAGTATTGTGTGTGCCTATGGAAGCATTCTAAATTGAAGTTGCTTCATTAAAGGATTGAACCATTTTGGTTTTTTAAAACCTAACATTACGATGAGCTGTTAATCTAGTCGGACCTTTACAAGTCACTCAATGGCCCAACGGTTCAATTTTAAAGTAGGGAATTTATCTTTTCTGAATCATGTCGCTCTTAATGATTTGTATGATGGAGAAATTTGATGCTCATGGTTCTCGAAGTTTATGGTCTTTAGTGTGAAGGTTTGGTTATGCCAATTTTAGTTATTCATAATTGTTGCGTCTTTCAAATCACTATGGTTGCTTGTGTTTTGTCAAGGAGCATAAACTAATTCCTTCCATCGGGTGCTTCATACTGGTCTTTTTTCCATTCATGAAGTGGAAGGCATCTGTAAAAAGATTTTTTGTTTCTGATTCTTTCGGTTCCATTAATATTGTGATCCGACTTCTTTTGAGTATACGTCATTCTTATTTCAACTCGGTCCTATATTTTTGTTTCGATGCGCTTTTCAGTAGATAATGAAAATTTGATACCTTTATTGTTGACTGTTGGATGTAATTAATGAATGCGGCTGTACTTATACCAGTCCGCATGTATTGTGCATATTTGAGTAAACTTATTTAATATCTTTTCCATACATGTATGTTTCTATGGGGAACATGTTGTAGTTATCAGAATTTGAACATTTTAAAGTTTGCCATATTAATGATGTAATTATGGATGGAAGTGGTTAAATTATGCCGAATTATTTATGTTTTTAGAAATTGACTAAGTAGGAGTAAGAGTGGTTTATTTATGCAGATGCAATTAACCTTTATGAAAGTGAAAATTTCATAGAAAGTACATCCTTCTTCCACAAATTTTGATTGGTTCTTGACCACAAAAGTTAAGTACATTGGGTTGGAAATGCATCTGGTTATTAGCTTTTGCCTGCATTTCAGCTTGGCAACCTGGATGCACTTCTGAACATTTTGAAGATCTAATTTATATGATATGAAAAGGATTATTATTATGATGATGGGATGTATTAAGATTGTAGCACTAGGATTTCTACTATGAAATATGTAGGCTTGTCTTGATAGTTATTTTTAGATATTCTAACCATGCTTCTATACTTGGTTTTTTATTTATTTAAATGTTGAATATGAAATATACAATAGTTTGTAAAAGCTTGATGATGATGATGATGATGATGATGATAGGCTAATGATTTTGATGATATGGTTGATATATTGCTATGGTTTATGTGCATCATTTCCTGTTCTCAGACATAGTTATAATGGGTTTGCTTCACATCATGCAGCAATGGTAACATCAAAGGTAGGGAAACGCTATGCATTTAGTGGCTATGAAGCATTAAAAGAGTTGTTCCTGTTAAGGTTAGTGCATTACTCGTTTTAACATCATGCTATATTTCACACTTGACGCATCATATCCTATTATTCTATTCTTAGCTAGCATATTCAGCATTCAATTTAATCAGTATATGCTCATTAATTTTTTCATATTTGTCCAAATCATTGTTCGTTTTGAAATTGTCATTAATATTGCTTTCCTGTGAATATTGAACTATAAGAAAGTCCATGTGCTTTCCCTATGTTGTCACAGAACCCAGCTTTCCTATTGGATGTATTGCGCCTGTAGTAGGGGGACTGTTTTATTATGAAACAAAACATTCTTAATAAATCACCAGTTTTACCAAGCACATATTCCCTTTCTCTGTCAACCCATTTTGATAGGTGAAATGGCACCATCCTTTATGATGGTTAAATTACAGCCTATTTTTCTAGTTTTTTTTTTGTTTTTTATAATTTTTTTCTGTAGTTATTGACCTGATTTATCTTAAATTTTTTGTTTGTTTGAATATGTGGCATTTTACCTCTTCTGGGTGATTTTACAGGTTTATGGATTTACTCTCTATCTAATAAGTTTGAAATTTATTTATTTATTGAACAACGTTAGTTCAAGAATTATTTGAATAAATGACTAATCTAATATATTTGGTCTTGCAAATTAATGCTTTATTTTTATGGGTTGAATTTTCTAGTTCGTCTTCACATTATGAATGGGAATAAAATATTCTATATTGTTGAAGACATTGAAAACTTTTAATCATGAATAAAAATAAAGCATTTTGGTTGTTGAAGACTTTGAAAATGTTGGATCAATCATCATTCATAAAGGTGTTGTTCATTTCAATTAACCTCTAACATTGGTGTTGCTTTGATTCTTTTGTTGTGGCTTGACTCTTAAGTATTTCCTTTCATATAACTTTATTTGAAGTATATATGTTTTGAAAGGAGATATTATTTTTGTAAATCAGATAGTGCAAATATATTTTTGGACGTTTTTAGGTCACCTTAGCAAGCTTAGGTTTTTATCGACCAAGTGTTAGTTTGTATTAGTAATGTTCATATGGACATAAGTTGTCGAAGCATGACATCTTTCTCAATTATGACAAAACCTTCCTAGGAGTGAAGTAAGATGCATCAACATCAAATACGAAAGAGATCAAATGACATGGAGATAGACAAAGATTCACGTTATTTGGTCTTGACCTAGCTTCTTGTTATGAGAGAGGATCAAATTTACTATCAAACTAGGCACAGAACGATTTACAAGAATAGTAATACTCATCAACCCACCCCAAAAATCAATGAAGATCTTCAAATTAATCTTACCATATGGCTACCTCATAAAGATTCTAATGTAACAAGAAATCATTATGAAGTTGTTATGTCGATGTAGCCAATATTTTAAGAGACCCTAGTCTCATGGTACACTAATTGAGGATCCAAGATGCTAGATCCTAGTTGAGAGATTTCCTTTTATATGCATGCATCCTAAAGGATCGACCCAGAAATCAAGAAATGACCTAATTTCCTAGAATGCCATATGAACACTTACACATAAACCAAGGTAGGCCCATGTTCCAATGTCGTGAGGTGTAATTCCCAAGATAATCAAATGTCTGATTTCAAAATCTTGCTATTTTAATCCTATATCTTATGATAGCCATTCGATCTCTTGGTCTATAACTAGGGAATGTTCCAAGGTATGACTAATCTTGTGGAATGCTTATTTAAACATGTGCAACAAATGTCTGAACTCAAAACCATACTAGTTTGAACCAATATCTTATGATAGCCATTTGATCTCTTGATCTATAAATAGGGAACATCCAAGGTATAACAAATATTGTGCAATATTTCTTTGATTTTGTGTAACGAATGTCACATCGAACATGAACTATGCTGTGTCAAAATACAACACGAACAATAGCAAAACCAAATAATTGAAATATATATGGCAATGCAACAGTCCAAAGTGTCGAGATATTGGCCATAATATTTTTAACATTTTGGAATAGCAAGAAAGTTTGAGCACACATCCTTCTTTTTGCCTTTTTGATCATGTTTCTTTTGGGATGTTGAAGAGTTAATTCCCTAGATGTTATTGTATCATTTAGATGAGTGATTTTTAAGGAGGTTTCTAAGGGAGTAGACCACTTGCTTGTAATGGAGGGGTTTTACCGTTTTAGAATAAAAGCTGAATTTGATTCCCCCAAAAGAAGAGTGCATGAATGTTTTAATTTGTCTGGTTGATTTTTGTAGTTATCATATATGGATGTTAGGATTGGATAAACTATTTATGCGTAAGGTGCATAAAATGAGGTGTTTGTTAAATAGGTTGTATTTCAATTTCATTGTTTGTTTGGTTTGGGGTTAAGGTAATTATATAATATGTTCCCTTTTTGGCATCTTGATAGTGCATTAAAGTTATAGATAACTGCATACTTTTAATTTTTATTATTTTTCTTAATTAGTTGAATTATACTCATCCGCTTCTCCTTTTTTTTTCTTACTTGCTTTTGGTTATTTCTTTTTAGTTTATTTTATTAAAAAGCTAGGTGCATGACCCTTCTCATTAAAGAGTTGCAAATTCAAAAAAATAATGTAATTCCCAAAAGAAAGAATGAAAAGGAATGAGCAGGACAAAGCCAAATAGAGGCTACGCTGATAAAGAAGATAAAACTCCTCAAGCAAGCTCAATTTAGTAGTAACTTTTAATATTTTAATCCTTAGCTTCTAGATGAAGATATCAAAAAGTAGGCCAAAGTAGTGATATTATACTAAATGACTTTGTCATCATTCTTCCTACTTTTAAAGAAAGTCGTGTTTCTCTTCCCTCTAATAGACCAAATCACTGCAATGAAAAAAATATCCCACAGAGTTACTTTAAGATAAAAGGTGGTAGTAACCTTCTCTAAGTAAGTCTTGGAGGAATTTTAGAAATTCATGCTAAGCCTAGAAATGTCTCCAAAAATAGATAGATCCACTTTAAGATAGATTGTTTATTGGAGTTTATGACCACATAATTAGAGTATCACATAAAATTAAATGTTAGTAAATGGAGAATCGATTCTAGTTGTATTTGCATCCCTCTATCCTTCTATGATTAATTGCATATTAGATTATTTTATGCAAAACATCAACTATGATATTGAATAGAAAAATGGAGAGAGGGCCACCTTGTTGCATCCTCTTTATATCATTTGAGTTATATGCTGAATTCCCGGTTGACTAGACTCACAACATTGGCATGGTTCAAGGTATTTTAAGTCTAGGGAATGATTTTTTGGGGAGCAAGGATGAGGAGAATGAAATTCCAATGGCATGAGTCATAGGATTTTTCAACCTTAAATAACTTTCTCATATTTCCTCAAGACATGAATGAATATTATTGTGTGATGTTATAATGCAATTAACAATACATCTACCTTGATTTAATGCACCATGAGATTTGAGAGCAATCCAATAATTTAGAAATGAACAGGGAAATCTTATTGGCAAGCACCTTTGTGAATATCTTGTATTTGATGTTGGGCGGGTTGATAGGTTTAAAATTATTAAGTTATTTACAGTTATTGTGTTTAGTAATGAGACAAATGGTTGTTGAGCACAATCTTTCAAGAGGCATTGAATGAGCACAATCTTTCAAGAGGCATTGAATTAATATCAAGATCTTTAAAAATGAGCAACAAATAAGCCTTGATTCTTTCCCACATTATCTTAAAAAAATGATAGAAGAACCATCAAGGCTCATATTTCTTCTATATCTCAAAGAGAATACCTTGTTCTTAATTCCAAAATCTTGAATTTTGAGTCTAAATTATTCAACATTTTTTGAGATATAGTTTGAAAAAGTTTATAGAGTAATTATAATGATTTCATATGCAAAAAGCGGCATTATAAAAATCTGAAGCAATGAAAAATTGGATGATATCCTCAGATTTTTTAATATGATGAATAAACTTGATTTCTCTTCTCTCATTTTCCACTATGTGAAAATATGCTTGTGTTATTGGCTGCTCCCAAAAATCAGTTAACCTTAGATATTTGATGCAATGCGATCCCTCTACCTTCTACTTAATGTTAAGCCACAACTAAATATTATCATAAGCATCCTTATCTTGATCCTCCTCAAAAGCCTCTATTTCCTTATTATTTTCTTGAGCGCATCTTCCTCCTCTAGAAAACCATTCCACCAAATTGTTTAAATCCTAGAAGTCTTTTATATTGAACCAAAAACTTTCAAATTAGAATACCTAGGATCTTAATTTGGGAGCCATATCGGTATTAAAAATCACTGGGCAATGATATGAGAAAACTTTGCTTATAGCTTAACGAGTAAATTTAAGAAAATGGTCTACCTAGAATGATGAAATGAGAGATTAGTCCAATTTAGCAAAAGCCTTTTCCTCTCTCAAATTATACCAAGTACACTTTCTACCAACAAAGGGAGATCAAGAAGTATAAAATAACATATAGGTTTATGAAAAAAGTCAGATGGTGCTTTAGACCTATTCAAGGATTTTTCTTCCATAGAGATAGCATCTTTAAAGTTCCAGTAACATCCAATGATAGGGCCACCAAGAACCTATTGAATGAAGTTCCTACTAAAACAAAATATTCCTTTTATCTCCATATTGTTCATAAATTGCGGTGAGAAAAATGTTCAAAGGAGTATTGCCCATCAAGAAAGGAGTAAAAATATAAAATACATCATTCGAGAAGTCAACGAGTTTGACCTAATTAGAATCCCTCTTGATTGCTAGAATTTAGCAATTTTAAGTTTTGAATCTTTACTCCACCAATACATCTCAAAATGGAAGCATTAGGATTGCAAGGTTGGTTTCTTGGAGACCAAGAATATCTATTTTTTCTCTACCCATCCTCTTTTTAATCTTAGAATCTAAACACCTAACATTCCAGTTACCAATAATCATGTAAAAAAAAAAAAATCCCAAGAAACCTCTTATAAGACAGAGCATAAGAAATCATTATTTCTTCATGTAAGACTCTTTTGACTTATTATATGGTAATAATAACATCCCATAATTCTGAAGATGACCATTATGTTTTTTCTCATGAGCTTCTCTTATGGATGGAAACATGACCTTATTTGTCTACTTTGAAATTTAATGGAGGTTATATTTATCTTCTTCTAAAGGATTGCTTGATAATCCTTAGCAGTTGAATAAATTTTGATGTCCAAATACTTTGGAGTACCATTAAGGTTAGTAACTTATGCATTAAGTGAAGCTTATAAAAGACTGTCTTTCTAAATAGTGTGTTTAGTCTTGCAAGTTAATTAAATTTACAGTGGTGACTGGTGAGCTTTGGAGCTTCAACATTTCAATAATAAAATAGTAATCATTGAAATGCAATCCCAAGGCCAACACATTATCTCTTGTAGCTCGTATATTTTCCTCCAACTTTTGACCATCATACTCACTTTATGGAATTTCATACAAGCTTTGATGACCAAAGATTCAATAATCTAAGAAGAATTGAATTTCATAAAGAATGATCCTGGAATTAATAAAATATAATGTAAGAGAACCAATCTTTGTTCCGATACTATTTAGCATATTAAGATTTTCACTCCTAATATCAAAGACATAAGATTCCAAACTTTTATAGTACTTCCTTATCCTCTTCCATTGACTTGAAAACTCTACATGCTCTCACCCTAGATGAATATGGACTAGAGCTAATTTCACGTTCTGTATTTATGCAACCAAAGCAAAAAAGAAAAAAAAAAAGGACCTACACATTTTTTTGGGTACACGACCAGTCTCCCAATAGTTAAAAATCCTTCTTTCTAGAGAAAATTTTAGAGAAAGAAGGTGGCATTTGGTACATTTTATTTGATCCAACCACCTCAACGGAAAATCTAATACTCACATTAGCAGCACCACTTGCACTGTCGTAATCGACCACCTTATGATTTATCTAGATGCCACTAACCTATCTAGCCTTCCTATAACCTCCCCTACTTCTCTGGATGCTATCCTTGCTAAGTTAGTGTTACTTATGATTAATTTAAATACTTTCAGGCATTGATGTGATTTTATCTTAGCACTTTTAATGAATATAAGGTACTTATATACACACATATGGATGGTGGAACATACCCGTGTAAACTCATATTCCCAAACGACATTATAGTCCTCTGCACCCTCCCCCACTCGTACTCTGAAAAAAAAAGCACTATAATATGAATGACATCTTGGTTTTTAGACAAAGCTTAATTTTTTTTTCAGGTTATTGCCGAACCGTAAGTTGAAGTGTCTCATACAACGACCCTTGCAGAATCTACCGGAAAATAAAGATGGTTACTCTCTTCTACTTTTTTGGTATTGGGAGGAGTGCTTGAAGCAAAGGTTTGATCGTGCTTTTACTTATTTCAAATTTTGAATTACTATTATATTTTGTTGGTTTATTATCTTGAATATCTACATATGATGTTTTTAGTCAATTGATTGTTTATTCACGTAGTGTTTTATAGAGGTATTCATTCTTTTATCTTTATATTGTTTAAAATTTGTTGTATAACAATACTTTCTAGTGTGTTATACTTCAGTCGCACATGTATATAAGATAATTGTCTCAGGCGAACTGATTTAACTTTGAAATTCAATTTAATGCTTCATAAATTGGAGCTCCTTATTTATTGATGTATAAGGACTTATTAGAGAAGAAGATTAAATATTAGGGAAAAAGACTAAAATTGTCCATTGACTTTTTATGAAATATAAAATAGTTCCCAATTATATTAAAGTATTATATTGATTCCTCGACTCTTTTAAAAAGAACCAAAATAATCCCATCATAAGATTATTTTGGTTCTTTTTAAAGACTTGAGGGATCAAAATGATCCTTTAATATAGTTGGGGACCATTTTGAAAGAGTCAAGGGACCATTTCTTGCATTTTCTCTTAAATATTAATTGATAATCATTATTCTTATTAAAGAAATCCCTAATATATAAATTCTTGCCAGAGTCTTTGATTAAAAAGTAATTAAAATTATTACTAGTGTCTAATTATCACATTAGCTAGCAGAAGTATGCGAATCATATTGAAGATGCGGTCTACTTTATAGTGTTGTTGGTTTCATCTTTTTCTTTGGTCAAAAATAAATTCCTTAAGATATTTGAGCTGTCTTATCTTTTTGTCTTTTTATAAACGGAAATAATAAGAAGTATAAAATATAATATATGTTTTCACCTATAATAACACATTTCAGCATGTCTAGGAGGGAAGATGGTACCTCAAGAGAAAATATACACATTTCATCGAAAATTAGGCAAGATTTTATAATAATCAATAAATTATATATGTCCATTTGGTTTAGGATTAAAAAAAACTTAGGAATAGTTGCAACTAACTTAATTGGCTCACGAAATGCTGACATTCAAGATAGACAATGGAATTCACTAGATAAATTGTGAAAATTGAGTAGTAAGATTAGGAATGCTATTTGGAGCTAAGGCTATCCATATGTTTTTATGATTAACAAATGTTTCAAACATGGCATCTTTAATTATTTTAGTAACCTCTAATGTTGGAAGTTAGTGTAATCTCTAATGTGGAAAGTTAAGCCTCAACAAACACTAAAGCACTAATTCTTCAATTGCATCTATTATGGATAATTCATTTTGGAAAATCTCATCAATTTGATTTTTTAGTGGTTTTCCTTAGAGGTGGGTTAGAGAATTTCGGCTCTTTTGAATAAAGCTCATTATTGGCTTTGACCTCTCAAGAGAAACTAAATTAGCAATTTTGATTGTACTTGAACTAAACAATATATATAGTAGCTTACCACCGACATTTGATTGTATGCAAAATTTGCTTCACATTGTAAATGGCATTTATAACACGCAATTAGTGTGAGCAACAATAAATAAGAGGCTTTCATAGGAATGTCAACATAATTGTTATTAAAAACGTTTTGTTTTGAGGGTCTAGCTTGCTATTGTGTATGAGTAGACTCGAACAAATTAAGTTGGGCAGCCTGATGACCGATCAATCCAATGTGAACCAATTAACTATGGATTATGAGTTGCTGGCTTTCTTTTTAAGGCAGGGTATGCTGTAGAATTGTGAAAATAAATTGAAGATACGAAGAAAGCAATAAACAATACATACAAAATTATTTGTTGTTGATGCCAAATCTCTAAGTCAACGAGTTGCTGAATCCTCAAGGTATGAAAACTAAGTATCCAAAAGAAGGGTTGCCAGAATTATTCAGGGAATTAATCACGACTTCAATAATCAATCCATAATAAAAGTTATACATAAAATGCTGTGTATACCCAAAAGAAACTATTATTATCCTTATTATATTCAAACTAATTGAAAGAAATAAATAAAGTGAAATTTATTCATAAATGTTAAGAGGCTAGAGGAACATTAAAATAAGTTTGATAAACTCATTTGCAATTTGGTTTGATTCCGTAATGTTGTCTCTTAAGAAATTGTGTCTATCTGAATTGAATTGTCTTAATGGTTGGACCTTATTGACAATGCTGCCTCATTTATCTCTGACCAAAAGAATTATCCTCTGGAGTGTATAAATGGTGGAATCTTCCTGATGCCCAAATGACCAACAAAGAATTTCGTTGGAAGATTTATGAGACCTTTTGAAGGTTATCTCCACTCTGTCAAATCATTTGTAGGCATCATCGATAGAAAGAAAAGCTCACTGAGAATTGAATAAACTCTACCATTATAAACAGTAAGAACTAGAGGTTGGAAGATGCCTTAACTCAGCAATAATTACTTAAGAAGAAGGTCAATGTTAATGCTTAAAGTAAAATCTTGTGCAAACACATTGTATTCTTGCTAGCTACTAATTTTTTAGGATTTATGGCTTTGGTAGGTTAGTGCAAATAGTTGGGGTACAAATCATATTGGTAGGTTAGTGCAAATAATTGGGGCACAAATCATATATAAAACACTGGCAATGTAAATATTGCCATTCTTGAAAACTTTGCAAACATTGTAATGAGCTTGCATGACAACCATATGCCATTCATCATATATGGCAAAATTCATTTGAAAACTTATAAATGCAAATATTTAACACAATAAAACTAAATTATTGGATGCACTCAAAGGAATGTAGCAATTACATATCGTTGAATGACTAAACTATGAAGAGGAGGTGAACAGAGAAAATCTAGAATCAATTTCTATAAGATTCAGATTTTATTTAGAACTAAATTTATTAAGTTTTCAATCTTGGGTATATTGTTCAGAGTGATGGTGAAATAGATGGGGATATTATTAGTAGAATTCAAGTTGGATGGATGAAGTGGAGGAATGCATCGAGCTTGTTGTGTGATAGAAAAGTACCACTCAAACTCAAGGGAAAATTCTATAAGATGATTGCTAGACCTACAATGCTTTATGGCGCAAAATGTTGGCCATTAAAAGAGAAGCATAATATTAAGTTAAGTGTTGCTGAGATGTGGATGCTCAAGCGGATGAGTGGTTTTACTCTTAGAGTCATGATATGAAATGAGCATATATGTGAAAAGGTTGGAATAGCTCCAGTGACAAATAAGATTAGAGAGAGTTGCCTTAGATGGTTTGGTCACATAAAACGGCGGCCTTCCAATGACTTGGTTAGGAGAGTAGATGTATTAGATTTTATCTATGTTAAGAAAGGTAGAGGTAGACCTAGAAAGACTTAGTTAGAAAAATACTAGAAATGGCATTTCTTTATTAGATATAAATGAGAATTTGAATCTTAACCGAACACAATGAAGAAAAAGGATTCATGTAGCCGACCCCACATAGATAAAGGCTTGACGTTGTTTTTGTTGTGTTGTTCTATTCATTTATTAGAATATTTGTTAGATGAAGTAAGATATGAATTTGTTATTCTGTGCCTATGTTCAAATCATCAGAAAATGACTTATTATCTACAAATTCTTCAATACTTTCATCATTAGGATTCGGAAGTTCATAAAATTTTTCCCCAAGAGTTGATTTTTTCAGGACATTGGGAGGTTATATGACCTTCGCCTTAATATGTATGGTAGACAACCTCACTAGTTTGTATGCTTGTACATTGATTGTTTTTTGTTAGGACATTTGGAATGTGTAAGTGCTTGCTGCATTGGGGAGCATACAACATTTGACTAAATGGACTTTTCCTATTGGTGAAGATTTGAAGAAACAATGACATTGTTTTAAGAAGAAATAAATAACAATCTTTTTTAAGGCTTTATGACTAGTTTCATCTATATTCCTTGGTTTAAAAATGTAATGTTTTTGTTTTAATTTTAGGGTTTGGGCCATTCAAAAAATTAGACGTTGCTACCCATATATCTTCTTGTAATTGCACCTAAAGTTCAATTGGCCAAATTTATTGGATTATTTATTAACACTTTGATCATCTTACTTGAGATTTTACTTAAGATTTTTTAGTTCCTCAACTATTTTAAATTATAATAGGCTGGCAAATATTTTCTCCTAGTTTAGCTTTTGCAGTAGCCCGAGTTCTAATTCTCGCTAAAATGTCTTAGCATCATCAATCAATTTACTCTTAGCAAGTATGGAAAACCAATTAAAAGATACTCTAGTTATCCAGTAAAGAAAAAGTTTTGTATTATGTCTGCCATCAAAAGCATGGGCATCTACTTTTTAAAATTTATTTGGATTCCTCATGAAATTGATCATAATGAACCCCATGGTCTCTTTTAGGATGTATGTAGTTTCGCTCATCATGATCATGGCTAGAATAATAATCTTCTGAAAGATTCCTTGGGATTTTATGGTATCTATTCTTTTTGATCTATTGGATTCCAATAATCTTTAGGGTGTGTAAAATTCTTTGTTTGTTTAGATCAAGGATGATGAACATTTTGTTTTATGTTAAAGATATATTGAACAACTTAAGGTTTAGGAGGCTAATTGCCCACGATTATTATGGATCTATATCTTGAGAGGCACATTATCAAGCATTTCTTTTTCAAAATCTTTAAAGATGTCTAGAGGTGAATGTTTCGTAGTAGGTGGTTCCATATAGGTCATCAAGCAACGAAAGAACTCTACGAGAGGTTCTTTTGCCATGATTTCTAAATTTGTTCATTTAAAACTCACTAGTGTTAGAAAGCACAAATAAGTATGCACTTTAAGTGCTGCCGTGGGGTTGCTAATCATCTTGTAAAGAAGTGAGCTTACATTGTAAATCATAATTGAAGTGACAATGCATGCTTTGTAGAGCGCATGGCTTGTTCTCCACACCTTGTTCTAAGAAGCAACCTTGTTTAATGTTGGTTAATATTATATGTTTCTCATCAAAATGAGGAAAAACATTGCTTAAATGGGTTGTCTTTTTGAGATTTACTTAGGTCGACCAGTTTTTAATTTACTAAATTAAGCTTTCTCAATGTGCTATTTATGAGATTCATGAATTTGCCAAACATGAAAAATTATTTGCATTAACATTTGTAATCATGCGACTTATGCAGTCGGGATTTTTATTGACATTTAGCATGAGCATACCATGGCACAACTAGTTTCTTACATATTATTCCCTGCAATTTTCAGGCTTATCCTTCTAGGTTATCTCTAGCCTTTCTATGTGCTTTTGAATTTTTTATACTTATTGTAGGCATGAAGGATTTGCTGCCTAATCTCGAAGTATAAACTTTCTCCTGGAAGGTGTTTAGTAATTTTGTGCTTATTCCCTGCCAATCCATACTTTTGTAGATTTGAGCGATTTGTCATTTCTCTTGAGGAGGCAGTGAAGGATGTGCTACCTAGTCTTAAAGACAAAGCAATGAAGGTAATTTAACAATAAATTTTCTCTATGCTACGATCAAAATCTTTTGCAATATGGTTGAATTTAACTTATTAGTTGGTCAATGGTTTTGTTCATCCGCCTTACTCCTTTTTAATGGTTGCATATGTTCTTTAATTATGCTTTCGATTGATCTGTAGATCTTTTCTTTCGTAACATGGCAAATTGAAAATTTGAAGCTTTAGAAACTTTTGGCTTATGCTGTCTTTAGAACATTATTATTTTACTTTTTTATTACCTGTTTTTTCCTCTTTATTGTACATGAAAACTCTTGGTAACTACGTAATTATTTCTAAAGATGGTTGTTGTGTGGCTTGTTGATCATTTATTGTCTGATTGACAGGGTTTTGCTAGTTTTTTGAACTGGATCTTTTTTTTGTGTTTTACTATATTTTTTGTTCTCTTGGCAATATAGTTTTGATATATGTAATCCTGTGTGGACTTCCCAACATTTTAAGTTCTAGTCACACCCTAAAATTTTCTTGTATCACCACATCTAACTTCCATTTGGACAGTAATAGCCTTGAATGGCCTTCATCTGCTGTAATGGCCTTTGGCCCATTATTATCTGCCTGCCATCCAAAATGTATTTTTTCACTTGAATTGGTTGCTGCTGTTTTTTTTTTTTGTCATGCGGAGACTTTTCTCGAGTTGCAGATATATAATTGTTGCTTCATTTGATTCCAAAAAGATGAAGGCTGTTTACATACCATCCCTCTATTCTTACCTCAAACTTTATATTACCTTAATACCCCTAAACATGATGTAGTAGTAACCGTTGTTGAGGTTTTTACCTATTCTTACTATTGAAAAGGACGATTTAGGTTGGTGATGGCAATGCATGGGCTTTTTGGTTGATAACAATGTTTTATTGTTATATCATCTCCGTCATCCAGTTGTACTATCATTTGGCCTTCATGTTAGATGATTCACGTTGATAGGTATGTGTTGAGATATTTATGATTACTGTTGATATTGTATTTGTTGAATGATGCCAAGGGATTAAATGATCTTTTAACATGTTAATGCCTGTCGACTTTTGATTAAAAAGGTTGTTACAATTAATAATGACATTTTAATATCATGTTATTTACCTTTGATTTAATTGTTTTTTGCAAACTGGTCCTTAAATAAATGAGTTTTATTTTTTTGGCCACAAACTCTCTTTATTGAAGTGTATGCTGTAGGTTTGTACATTGTTTTAATGGGCTCATTAGTAATATGATCATAAGTTTTGAATTTTCATAGATATTTTGTTATTTTATGTCATTAAGTTTCATCAATTTGGATAGGATTATATAGTCAACGTCATTAGGTTTGTTACCATCTTGTTAGAAGTTTGCTAACAATTTGTTAGCGTTTTTTTTTGCTTTATTTTTTATTCATTATAAGTATGAGAATTCTGAGTTATGTTTGATAATTTTTGGCATGAATAAATATTATTTAGAATGTAGAGACTCTTCATTTATTTAATAATTTTCATCCTTGATCAGGCATTTTTCTTTGCTTAACTTGGTGGATTGTCTACCAACGCCAAAGGACTTAATACAGTCCAGGGAGTCTTATTAGCCTCCATAGATTGCCTCTATTAGAGCAGACCATCGTGGCGATATGCTTAAGGATACTTTCTCTTGATTAGTCATAATTGTGTACACTTGAATCATATTGGTTTAAAGAGACCAATATGGATGTTAGTGGTTAGTTCAAAGGCGTTTTTAAATGATCATTGATGTTTAATGCACTAAGTTTGATTGATTCATATTAAGATGACTTGGAATAATGTGTCTGGGTCTTAAATTCAAGACCAAGATGGTTATTGGCAATTCTAGATCGATTCTTGGATTCACTTTGGAAAGAAGAGCATCATAAAGCATATGAATGAATATGATCAGAGTGTTGTAGGACAATCTTTGAAGTTGCATCCCATTTTGGTTCAAATAAAATTAGCCTTATGTCTTCGCCTTTGGATGGGTTTGGATATTTGGTAGGACTTGAAGGAGTTTTTCTTGGGTTTGGATATTTGGTAGGACTTGAAGGAGTTTTTCTTGGCCTGATAATTGATTGGAGTATGAGAATGATTTTATGTCTTTGTATCTGAGAAGATGACCCGAGATAAAAAATTTATGTATTTTGAACAAATTCAGCCTAGGGATTTTGGGGAAGCTTGGGCTTACATCTTTGTATTTGGTAAAGAAGGCCCACAAGGCTCAAGATTTAGGTATTTAGTAAAACTTAGCTTGAAGGATTTGGGATTTGATAAAATTAGGGCTTATGTCCTTGTATTTGTGGTGAGATCATGAGAATTGATATATTTGAATTTGATATAAACTTGAGGATTGGTATTTAATAATTTTATTTAGTGTTTTTATTTTATTGTTTACCTGTAAACCAACGACCAGATCGATTCCCACTACCTACGACTCCACCTTGTCGGTTCCCATGATCCCACGCTCGCTCCTCACGACACAAAATTCCCTCGGAGGCACAGACCGGGCTCATTCAAGCAAATCTCTCTGTGTCGAACAAAAAAGAAGCTAAAGCTCCCGCTCCCGCTAACCTAGCCTTCAATCTCCCGAGGTACCACACAATCGTCAAATCAGAGGAATCCCTAGGTTGATTGGTCCTTCGAAGCCCTCACCCCTCACCCCTCGGTCGTCAATCTGATCCGGTCGAGTGGATAGAAGGCTTGAAGACCAACTCTTGGATTAATTCACTTCCCTGAAGTCCTCGTTGTCAATTTGATTCCGTTGAGTCGATTCAAAAGGGCGAGTGCCCTCTCTAACCTCCCCTCGCAGGGAGGGGACACGGGGTGGTTACCAAAATCTCGCCAAGAGACTACCGAATTGGAAGTTGGAAATTTTTATTGATTAAACATTAATGTATTTAATTGAAACCTCAAATTTAATTAAAATAATTAAAATTAGAGTTTCTAATTAATTAACAACTAATCAACTGATTTTTAAATAAAATTCAAATTCAAATTTTGAATTAAATTGAACAACTGATTAATCTAAATATAATAAAAACTTTAATAAATTTAAAATCTTTCAATAAACCATTTGGTTAATCAATTAAATCTTTAAAATTAATTAAACTTAACTGAGCAAATGATTTAATTAATAATTAAATAATTTTAAAATACACTTCAAACGTAAATTCTAACTTAAATTAAAATAAAGTCATTTAAACATTTTAATAAAATTAAAACTTTAATCAAAATTATAATCGAATAATGTATGATTTAATAAAATAAATAAAAGCTAATTAAAATTTTAATTTAAGATTAAGATCTCTTAAATAACTAGTTAATTGAGAAACTAATTTAATTAATAATTAAATAATTTTAAAATACACTTCAAACGTAAATTCTAACTTAAATTAAAATAAATTTATTTAAACATTTTAATAAAATTAAAACTTTAATTGAAATTAATTGAGCAACTTAAATTTAAATTTAATTAAGAATTAAATCCTAATTAGTTTAATTATTTTAAAATACAATTTTTTTTAATTGGAGAGCCGAGCCTTTAGATTTAAAATTTAACTTTAATAACCCGCATGCTAGAGAAACTTCTAAAATAACGTAACCAATCCACATATTTGGGGCTACCTCTAATAGAGGCCATAAGATTTGCTATTAGTGCCATTTCTAAGAGATGCCGTAAGACCCATATTTTAGGGAAGCTTCTAAGTGAAGAACCCTAAATCTCTTAAACCTACAGACTACTTCTAAAGGGAAGCAGTAAGTCCTACCAACCAAACACTACTTGGACTACTTTTAAACGAAGCCATAAGTCTCGCTCTACATACTACTTTCAACAAAACACTAAAAAAATTTCAGCTTTCTACCTAGTTTTAAATTTGTAACTCCATCCTTTTTGTTAAAGCAATAGCTAGAATAGGTAAACCATAAAAATTGTACGGCTTTGACTGCGTAGATTTTATTTTTACAAGGCCAATCTTTATTCATTTTGTGGTTTTTCTTGTGAGTTGTTATGTATTTATTGGAGAAATTATTAGTTTAGTTTAGTTCATGATTTTCTTGTTAGTTGATGTGTATTTATTGTCTGCATAATAATTTAATTATAAATATATCTCAATCTAGATGCCACTCGGCCATGCCACATTTCTTTTTTGGAAAATGCTTCATAACATTGCAATTAGTTTTTCAATTTTGTAACCCTTCGATCAATTATAATTCCTCATTTTATGTTAAAAACTTTAATAACATTTTCCAAGAAATGTTTGAGTTTCAAACATGTCAATAACCATGTCAAGAAAATATATAAAGAGATTAGTTGCTCATAAAATGAATTTATTTAATTTTTTAATTATTGAATTTATTTATTATGTATATTTTATGCTTCATATTATGATTTTATTCAATTTTTTGTTATGTATGTGCAAATGATTGCCTCATTATTACGTAATTTGCTTAATATAATTAGTATTTATTACGTCATCCAGTTCGAGTACGGTCAAACCATCGAAATGTTAACATTTTCTTCTTCCGGTTCGATTTTCACAACCTTGCTATTTTGCATTTTAGACTGCAACCGCAATTTTATTTTTTACTAGTGCTCTGTTGTTGTTTTTAAGAATTTTTTGTGCTAGGAAGCTGTTTTTTATAACAACATTAAAAAATTTTACTTTTCTCAGAACAACTTTACACCAATTTTTACAAAAAGCTTCAACCATCTCAAATAGGCCTTAAAGCTTTTATATAATTTTATGGTAACAATGCATGTCACATGATAGATTTAGCTAACGTCAAGAACGTTCTATGACTAATTTTATCCTCATGTTTCCTCATATGTTTTTGGTCGTTTGCAGTGAATTTATGAAAGTCTACAGTCTAATAAGTTTGTTGAATCTTTTTCTCTTGCTTTCGACTCCTTTTACTAAAATCTAAGATGAAGACTGTGGTTTTTCCTATACCTTAGAATGCCGGAAATATGGATTGCAATTTATGGTTATTTGTTGCTCTTGAATTTGAACTTTCAAGTGCTTCTTTCATTCTGCTTCATTTGCAATTTCAAGGATATGTTCAATTCATTTTTTTTTTGGCATAGCTTAACTTTTTGTCTCATTTAAGTGGTGGTTTGCATGTAAAAGTTACTTTCTTATTTTTGCACACTTTAAATGTGAATTTGTTTTGGCTTCATGAAAATAAATGTGGTTATCTGTCATATTTTTGATTAACTTTTAATTTGTTATGTTTTCTATTTTTCCATTTTTCTAGACAGTTTATGCCCTCTTGAAAAGCAAGCCTGAACAGGAGCGAAGATTGCTTTCTTCTCTCGTAAATAAAGTGAGTGTTCTTCTAGTCATTGGACATGTAGGGGGCAGGAATGTCATGCCCTGCAATCATTTTTTATTTTTTTTTAAGTCATGCCCTGCAATCATGGTTTGTCTTGTGTTTTATTGCTATTCTAATATTTGTTATCATTTGTAAATCTTGATTTTAGTTGCTAATTTTAAATACAAAGAATCGCTCATTGCGAGTATTAACTGTTGGTGCTAATTTACTACTAAAAAAGGAAATTAACATTTTTTACCACGTTCCTTTGCATAGCTGGGAGATCCGGAGAGGAAGGCTGCATCAAATGCTGGGTATCAATTATCATGTCTCCTTTCCGAGCATCCTAATATGAAGGTAAGTTGAGACTGTTGAGTATTGAAATTCTGCTTGAAGAAATTTGTCTCATAAAAAACTACTATTTTATATGGCGTCATTGAGTCTTATGATCTGCTCAGTTTTGAAATACATTTTTTAACTACGCTGAATACGCTCTATTTTTTGTGTCTGACATGTTTATTTTGCTTTCTGCAGGCAATAGTTATTAATGAGGTGGATTCATTTTTGTTTAGACCACATATTGGTCTCCGTGCAAAGTACTATGCTGTATGTTTCTGCCACAAATTTTGGCCTTTTGTGTCTTTTTGACTTGTTAAGAAGTACAATTCACCAATCTTGAAGCATTTTTCTTTAAGTGGAAAATTGAAGTTGGAACAAGATAAAGACATTCAGTTTAGGATTGTTTTCATGATCTCTTTAGACTATTTTTTTGGAGCAATTTTTTTAGCGTCACCCACATATTGATTATTTACAAAATTAAAATCATCCTAACCTTAGTTCGGCAAATTTTCACAAATATCAAAATTCTTTACAAAGCCTCAACCTTGGTTTACTTTTGTAAAATCCCATAGATTTTCATTGCAATACGTGCAAATATATGGTATTCTAGTTCAAAATTTTTACGTGGACGTTAGACATGTAAATACTATGATTTGGATCATATGGGTGTGTATATCTCCTCTTTTTAATGCCCATGCCCTCATTTTTTTGAATTTAAGCTAGCCTTAATTTTGCATTTCATCTATTTGCTAGTCTTTAGATACCTCATTTGGAATTCAATAGGTAGTCGCGGTGTTTTAATAGTCTTGCATATTCGATAGTCTGATAGGAAACAAGTGTAGAAATAAAAAAATAATGGCTGAAATTTGGAATTTCATTAAGAACTCCACATAAATCAAATAAATCCCTTGGCAAAACCCTAGAGAAATTTGATAATTGATGAAAAGCGGAAGAAAACAAACAAGATACAATGATTCTTCAATTTTAGAGTAAGATTCTATTCTCCCAATCTTTAGCTGGCTGCTAGAGCTCAAGCAAAATTAGAGAACTCCTAATTTTAACAAAAATCCACATAACATTAACCTTTGGAGAGAAAAATCTACTTAAAGTAAAGCACAATCATCTAACCCTAAACAGTCCTGAATTTTCCCTCCAAAACCCACCTTAATTAATGTCTAATTGATTGTTGGGCCCCACCAAAACCTCCCACCCCCTACAAGACGGAACCCTTGCTCTGCTTGGTATATCTCTGAACCAGTTCATGGTGGACCGGTCTAACGTAGTCCTAAATGGTTTTTGAATCACATAATGGATTTTCCTTATTATTAAAATAATCTGAAATGCCATGTTTATATATAACTGCAGGTGAACTTCTTGAGTCAACTTCTTCTCAGTCAAAGAGGAGATGGTCCTAAAATAGCAAAACGCTTGGTGGAGGTATACTTTGCACTTTTCAAGGTAAACTTCTAACATGTTTCATCTAATATATATTTAGAAGAAAGCGGGAGGTTCAATGTCATGGAAAATAGTTTTTTCTTTTAATAACATATATTTCCTTACCTTATTTTTTTTTTAAGATGGTATTTTCTTAGATAAAGTTCTTTTCTTTCACGTTGAAATTGCAAGTTTTCATGAGTCTTGTACGCTACTGTGAAATGCAGCTACTATAATCCTTTGTTGGAAATTCTCATAATTTCTTCTATTAGCAAATTTAGTTAATTAGCTTGGAAGAAAGTGCATGATACATGAAATTCCTTAGGTAACTAGGATTGCACGTTAGAGGACTGGTGTAATAACCTTCGTTTGCTTATTTAACATTAGCAGAAATTACATGAAATTGATGTCAGAACTGTTGAAAAGCTCTGATGTGATCTGAGTTAATGAATTTGGATTCAAATATTCTCCATTTTCTTTTTGTTTTATATGAAAAGCTAGAAGTCGGGGCAAAATTCTTATTATTATTTTTTTTTCTCAATTCTGCCTGCCCCTTCCAACACTTTAATACCAAATGTCTCTAAAGGGTTAAGGGATTGAACATGGGGCTCTGTTGCAAAGCCACCATATAAGGGTATTCTGTGCCTCCATGTTCCAATTGGGACTCACTCAGATAGTGAGCGGGATGGCCTGGAGTGGGAATTCGTCTTTCCTGGGGAAAACCCGGGCAAAGGTGGGCAGTGTCCACCTTTTAGGTCCAGGAATGAGAATCTCTCTCATTTACTTAACATGTACGTTTCAACGGTCCCAAGCCATCCAATATTCAATTTTCAGATATCTTATTGTGCAATTTTTTAAAGATTTAGTGCATTTAAATTTAGTATAGTGCCAGTTAACAAAAATTTTCATATATATATATATATATATATATGATAGGAAAAAAAAAACTTCTTCTTTTTTGGGGTCAATGCTAAATATGCTGTCTTCAGAGCTATTTTTTATCAGCACTGACAAACTTTGTTCTTTGTCTTGTCTGGCTTTTTTCTTTTATTCTCACTGACAGAGTGACAGTGGAAAATCAACGTCATCAAATAATCTGCAATAGAATGCTAAAAAAATTTAAATATTCTAATATTGAATTAGCAAACGCATGTAGTTATTTATAAACTATCAAATTAATATATGATATATTTAAATGTATAAAATTTATAATTACTAATTATTTTGTTACATAATGGCTTATAAATATAAGAATATATATAATCAGTAATTAATTATATTTAATGCTTATTTGATTGATATATAATATATAATAAAAATTTGTGTGTTATAAAATAAGTACATTAAAATATGATAATCATAAATTACTAGATAATAATTAGGGTTTTGTGGTCCAATGGAGCCATTGTGCATGATGCATATCATAGACTTTTTTAAAAATAGCTTAATTTTAAAAAAAATATAAAGAAATTATTTATAATTTAATAACATAAGAGTAAATAATCTTTAAAAATCATAATTATTAGATACGTAGAACCTAATATTTATTTAATTTTAACATACATGAAAATTAAAGAAGTACGATGATATTGAAATTAAGCTATCATGGCAATGGAAGGAATCGTATTGGCAAATAGAATTATCCTTGTTGTAGTAATAATTTTGGTAATTTTGGTGGAAAATGTAAATGATTTTAATATTGTCTTTCATAAAGAAAGATGACTATAAATATCCTCAATGGGATACCAATAATCAAAACATAAATAATAGTTTATTTATAAATCTCATATTCAAATAAAAAAAATAAATTAGTCATCTTAAAAATTATCATTGTCACCATTAATCAAAAAAGCTCTCTTCTTTATCATTATCATATCCAACTTTATAATCTTCTTCTCATCCTTACCTTAGACCAACTTAGACCAAATAGGCTTATTGTTAGCACATCTGATGAATCAAACAAAATAGCATGAACTATTGAACTATGTTTTGCACAATTTTAGTGTCAATGACATGCACCATTTTGATCTTTTGGGCATTGAACACACGTTGTTTCTCTATAAGCAATAACACATTATGTTGCACCATTGATAAATTTGTTCAAAAAGCTTTATGTTTCCATCAATGTTTCTTATTGCTTTTATATGTAATTCACTTGCATCAACTTTCAAACA